AACAATTTAATTAGGATACGGTTCCATAGTATTTTAGCTCGTTAGTGCATAGGCGCAAAGCAGCACCACAAGGCAGGAGAATGTTATTCTTACCAACGGTAATGAAAGCTAGCAGTCTGCAAGGAAACCCATAATAAGGGGCTTTGGGACAAAAAATACACATCTCAAATACGCATGCAAAATGCAAGGAGTTCTCGTTCTTTTTATGATAACTTGCTATGTACATCAATGACATTTTATTAGAAAACAAAGCGTGCAATCCGAAACAACAGCGCTTATGACAAACGTAACTAGTTATTAAAATATTAAAATAATTAAATGCCGTATAATTAGCAAATGGTTCGAGCAAACCACTCCAGAAATTTAAATTTTCAAATTTAGATATTCAAATAGTATTTTCAAGTTCGTTAAACATCCGCGAAATCCCAAATTGTCTACTGGCAACATGTGATCGGGATATAACATAAGTCGGACATATAAGTTCAAATATATGATCGCAAGCCGATCAAAAAAATGATCTTTTTTACAAACTATGCAAGAAGACTTTCCCCTCGTAAAATAGGCTATGAAAATTACATTACACGTGGTAAAACTCATTCTGGCAGTGGTATTACAAATACATCCAGTGAACACAACTGCAATCAAGTATCATGAAATTCGCGCACTGAAATAAGCTGAACGGTGGTAATTTCTGCCTCTAGCCAAGCTTTTGCGTGGCAAGAGTACAAATCAGTGCTGATAGCTACAGTAATTTTCAAGAAGATCGAAAGGAAACAGTGTTATGAGACACTGTATTACATCACTCGTTAATGTGCATAGCACATGAAACAAAATTTCGTACCAGAATTGTTGACGAAATCGAAGCAACCGCAAAATTTTAAGACGTTCAATGCCAACTAAACGATAATTTTTTATTTAGAAAGATAACATTCCAAAGAAATGAGAGAATGTTATTTAAATACCGCAAAGTTTGGGTCCGCATACAATACGCAACTTAGCCCCGCAGAATATAAAGTGAAGCCCGGAACACGAATTAATCGTGAAATATCAGTAAGACAGTGGCGCGCTTCCAATACCACAAATTGTCAAGAATACCGCTGAATCCTATTAGTGCTTGAAATTGAATTGAATGACCGGAAGATTGGCCACTGTCGATAAAATGATACAAAACGGGACACAGTGCAACTTATTTTCCCATATGTTAATAAATATAGTTTTTTTTCCTACGTTTAATACTTTCACTCTGATTAATGATGGATAAGCTACTGGTCGAGCAGCAGGAAAGTCCATAAAGTAACTGAACGGCTCCACTGCGCAGCATCGATGAGCATGCTCATTTTTCAGTAAATAAAAAAGCAAAATTTCGTTAATGAAACACAAATAAAAGTATAAAAATATAGGAGCAGATAAAAGATATTGTGAGGCATCAGAGGCTAAAATTGCACTTTAAAGCAATTGCTAGAGGCGGACCTGCTTGCGACGAGTAACATAAGCTTTGCTATGGCAACGAACATCGCCTAAATCATTCTCAGAAGTTAAAGTGTCAGACGTCATTAATCTTGATGTTCTACCCTTGACCCAGATGATCATGGAAACAAGAATAAAAGATATTCAGAGCCTTTCAGGAACAAAATTTAAATAACTGAATTGTTGAACAATGCCTGGAATTCCCTGTTCAAGAAGGGAGACAACACAGAGTGCTCGAATTATACGGCATTATCTTACTCAGTCTCCCGAATGAAGTTCTGTGCAATGGTGTTAGAAAATAAGTGCTGCGTAATAGCTGACTCAAAAGTACCTAAAGTTCCATGAGACTTTCGGTCGAACCGAAGCACATCTGACCAGATTTTCACACTACGCCAAATTATTGAGAAATCGGGGGAATTTGTTCAAATGATGTATGTATGCTTTGTAGACCTAATGCCCTTGATCCCCTCTGATCTCGCGTAACTATCTATGAACATGTCTGTGAACAACTGGAATCGATGACTAACCGCTAAGCAACATCCAGTCACTATAAGCAGATGACAGGTGTTGTGTTAGAGTAAATGGCGTGATTTCAGTGTTTCCGCCAAGGCTATGTTCTGCCCCCTCATGCTTACGTTGTTCATGAATCGAAGAGTCAGGAGCAGCATGGGCAATGAGTGTATCTGTAAGGTTGCTCTTTGCAGGAGATCTTGTTTTGTCGGCGACTTCGGAAACAAATCCCCAGTGATTTTTGAA